CACTAACACATAGACGTGACACCAACACAGACGTGACACCATCATATAGCGTGACATCGATCTCGATGTGCTCGTAAGCTAACATCTTGACGTGACTGATATAGCAATAACATCAAAATGTTACTGATATATCAGCTAACATCTTGATGTGACTACTTGATTAGCTAACATCGTCATTTGACTTAAATATCAATTAGCACTGAGATATGGAAGTTAGGAAACATATTCCTTATCAGTCTGTTATAAAGCTAAAATTTAACTCTGTATTCAACGATATAAAAATTTTAAAAATATTTTAGGAACTAAGATCTATATAGCATGCGTATAGACAAAAATAAGACACAGACAAAATGAAGTAATTATATTTCGTACGGAATGCTTCCTTTACTGTAAATTATTGAATCCACACTCCATAATGTGTCACTGTAAATTTTTTAATCCACACCCCATATGTGTCATTGTAAATTATTCAATCCACACCCCATACAGGTCACAGTAATTTAATGAATCCACACTCCATTCATACCAAAGCTAATTTCAATGAGCAGTGCCACTATATGTAAATTATGTCACATGTGCGCTTTAGTTTCCCATTGACATATGTTTTTCTGAATTGTTTTTTAAACAGCGGGATGTAACATACCAGTAATGGTAAGTGTTTCATACTACACCGGGTCAAGTTTTATACTTATCATTAAAAGTCCTCAGGCGGCTTGTTTTCAATTTTAAAATCAATTCCCACGATCAAATCTGCACTGGCGGACTCCCCAGATTTGTGTAGTTCAAGCGAACTGAATTTTCTTTGTCAATTTTTTTTTCGATGAACTAGTTCAATGTAAGACTGTTTTGTCGAATATATATAATATATGAATGTATAAGTATTGTACTGGCGAACTTGACCCCCGTCTCTAAAGTTACAGTGGCGAATTTAAACCCTGACTCTGGCGAACTGTTCCACCCCTCTGGCCAACTATTCCACCCCTCTGGCCAACTATTCCACCCCTCTGGTCAACTATTCCACACCTCTGGCCAACTATTCCACCCCGGCCATCACCCCTAGCCAACTATTCCAACCCTCTGGCCAACTATTCCACCCCTCTGGCCAACTATTCCACCCCTCTGGCCAACTATTCCACCCCTCTGGCGAACTATTCCACCCCTCTGGCCAACTATTCCACCCCTCTGGCCAACTATTCCACCCCTCTGGCGAACTATTCCACCCCTCTGGCCAACTATTCTACCCCGGCCATCGCCCCTGGCCCCAGGATGTGACGTAACGTGATGACCACGTCCCCCACTACTAACCAAAGCCCTTTTTGTCTCAGGCCTGCATCACGTAACCAAACCCCTCCATAAATTATACACATTTTCTCTGGTTAAGCTTTGACTTCCTCCCCGGGGACGGGCCAGTATGGACACATTATGCAAGCAGCAGACAGCCTAAGTCTTGTTGTATCATTTCTTGTCGTTTTCGCGCCGCCTGTCATGCTTGGTGAAGAGTTATCTCCTCATAAAACATCCTCACATGTCCAGGTAAATTGATGGCCAGGTAGGTTAGCTCTTGGATTAGTACGCAAATTTCGGGGGTCCTGTGAACGTTTAGGTCATAGATTGCTATGTAAATTAGGTATTTCTTTAAACGTTTATGTCATAGATTGGTAAATTGTTATACAAATGTAGGTATTTCTATGACCGTCTAGGCTCTAATCTAAATAAACCTTGGGAAATATCCACGAAAGTTATTAAGAAATGTAGATGAACAATGTGGATAGACAGCGGAGGAGGGAGAGGGTGGGGCTTGTCTCTTGTACGTCACTGACTGACGTCACAAGCAGGGACGTGTTGTTTTTACTCTCTTATTTAAATAAACTATTTTTGGCTATTTGGCCCTGACCTTGGTGCTTTGCCTGTTATTTTTTCAAGGCGGGTTAGAAGATTATTGAGGAAGGACCATTTATAGCGAGTCATACTGTCGTGGGCCCTTTTGACATGTGTCCTAAGTCCTAGTTTATTACAGCTTAGGTGTCGTTCATAAATTACGTAATATTCCTAAGGGTGATGGGTTGGTATTTCTGTGAAGTTATGATGGTGGGGGAGGGTAGCGGTCAGATAGTGTGACGTTATACATTAGCATTTTTTTAATGGTTCAAGTTCGACATTTTCATAAGAAAATCTCTAAAGAATTGTATACAAAAGATACATAAACAGTTCAATGGTTTCAACACGGCCACGGTGTGTAGCTCCTATCCCTCTGTGTCCTGATCTATCTCAACACACTGTGTACTTCCTACCTACCTATGTGCTGGCTTAGGTGTGTTACCCTCCACACCCACCTGTGACCATACACGACTGTACCCCCACCTGAACCTACCTGTGTGTTCGTCAGATCACCTCGGGTATTCTCGTACCTTCGTCTACTGTGTCTGTTGGTCCACGACACCTTTATATACATGTGTTTGAGTTGTGTGTCTTAAAAAACTACTCGCACTCCTATATTTTAGTGGTTTTCTCAGATTTTCTGTATATTTTATCTGACTTTTTTCACTGATATTTTTTCAATGATATTTTCAATGATATATTATTTGGTTCTACATTGTCCAGTATGTTTTTCCCGAAAAAAAATTTTTTATGGTTTTTCTTTCATGTGGGATTGTGTGGTCGTATTGTAGAATATCCGACTGCCAACCTGAAAGTCTCGAGTTGTAATCCCGGGCTCTAGTCCATACGATGTCTGAGAGCCCAACAAGCCAAAATTAAACTGCTCAGGCTGTTTCAGCCAAATGAGAAAAAACTATAGAAATCTGTTGTACTTCGACAAATGCAATTGAACAGTCACGCCATCAAACCAGTCCCTCTGATTTTATTATAGAGAGCTTGGACTCGTCATGGAGTGTTTGTTTTTCCCCCAGTAAAATATCTGCAAATATTCTGAGGGATATCAAGCGTCCAAGGGAAGACACTGCCAAAACCTCAGTCTTCTAAGGCGGGAAGTAATTTGTGTTAATGTTGTGTTTATAATATATGCAATTATTGGATGGGTATCTTGATTAGGTTTTTTTTAACTAGAAGTCGTGGTTTATGATGCACATAAAGTAATAATATAATAATAAATAACGTAACGAATGCAAATAAATTAGCGTCGTTATTTCGAATATACATAAATTAATGACGTCATTTCGGATGCTCATAAATTAATAACGTCATTTCGGATGCGCATAAATTAATGACGTCATTTGAAATGCGCATAAATTCCCCTTTCGCTGCAGCTCGCAGACTTAATGGCTTGAGACAGTCGGCGCGTCGTTCTCATCGTCGGTGTCATTTGTCATCTCATGTCATCTCATGTCACTCTCTCCGTGACATTTGTGTCAAGTCACTCGCACCGTCTTCCTCAAACTTCTGTCACGTGGGCAACTCAGTTTGACTCGGGGGGGGGGGAGTGAGGAGGAGGGTCATAACCCCCCCCCCCCCCCTCCCACCACCACCACCTCACCGTTTACAAGTGTGCACAGCTTTGATGAGATTTACGGCCCGGTCTGTCTGGTCACGTGGACTGGGTGTTTACACGTAGCCAAGGTGCCAACAAGCGTGAGGTGCCTCAAACATGTACGCCACGTTGGGACCTTGTTTAGCCACCCCATCCCTTTACACCCTCCTCACACCTCCCTCACACCCCTCTCACACCTCCCTCACACACACTCCTCACACCTCCCTCACACACCTTTCACACACACCCTCACACTTTCCTCACATACACTCTCACACCTTCCTCACACACTCTCACACCCCCTCACACCTACTTCACACCTTCCACACACACCCTCACACCTTCCTCACACACACCCTTTCACCTCCCTCACACCTCCACACTCACCCTCCCCCATCTCCCTCACACCCTCACATTCCCCTCGCACCCCCAGCTACCCGAGTTTCACGCCTAACGTTCAACAAATCGCTCAGGTGGCGAGCACCTATCAGGCAGTGCTCACCTACACCATGTTTGATGCTCCCTGGGCAATATGAAAGTGGGGGGGGGCTGTACAGATGTAGGGTGGGGGAGGTACAGATGTAGGGTGGGGGAGGTACAGATGAAAAGGCTGAAAGAAGCCCGGCTATCGTCTGACAAAAACAGAATGTCAGGTCCCTGTAGACAGGACGGGAAAGTTGCTGGTTCGGGTTTTTTGGTAAAGGGAAACAACTTGCGGGTGTTTCTCTCTTGTTTCTGTGTAACAGGCTGGAAACAAGGCTAGGGGAAAGGTGAGAGGGGGGGGGGGGTATTAAGGGGAGGCAGGGGAGGGGGTTGACAGTACAGTCGGTACTCAATGCAAGCAATGGTGGACATCACGCGAACATGAAAGTAGAGTTCTGACCCTTTGTCAGTCTAGATGTTGGTCTCTGTTAATTAAACTAGATACTTGCTATCTTACGGGACTTAGGCTAGTTACTGGTATTTGACCGATAGTCACTGGTAAACGTATTTGTCAGGTGTTATAAGCATTGGTCATGAGGGTTACTGGCTTTGTGTGAATTATTTGCCCTATCAAGTTATTGATTGCTCGAAAGTCTCGTGTCTTGCTACAACCACATCACGTGACCACAAGCTCTCATGGCAGCCGGTCAGGTCTGGAACCCACCGAATTCCAGCACTGGTCATTACACAGCTCGGACATGGTCAAGCTGCTGGACAATCTCTAGACCATGATGGCCAGCTGGAAGTTACTTCAGCCTTCACACATCTTCATGAAACTATACTAACCTTAAGGCGGAGTACCATTTGGACGTTGTATATTAAGTCAATTTATCCAGGCGATCAACTTTTGTTTTGTATCAAGGTTCTGTGCAGTTGCTGAGCTGTTGATGCGCATAACAATGATGTGATTCAGCACCAATTTTTAACAAAGATGTGATTCAGCACCAAGTTCTAACAAATATGTGACCACACCCAACTGCCTAACAAAGATGTAATTCATAACAAAGAATAAAGAGACAAGACCATTGAGTGAAATATCAAACATGATTTATTGCCATGTCATACCTAGACATCAAACAAAGTGATATGCATCAAATATCTATCACAAAATCAAAACAAGCATCGTACGTTGAATAGAACACATCAATTACAGTACAGGTCACTGCCTGAGCCTGTACCACATAGATGACATACCACCCACACCCTACACCCCTGGGCCTATACCACCCACACTCTACACCCTTGTACCACATAGATGACATACCACCCACACCCTACACCCCTGGGACTGGTAAAATATAGGTAACACTACCCACCCACATCCTATCTACAGGCATTATAAAGATGACACCGTACCCACCCACCCCCACCCCTACACTGGTACACATACATGACATATTAACCCACTACCCACACAATCCACTACACCCCCGGACAGGTAATATATAGATGACACAATACCCACCACACCCCACTACCACCCAAGACCGGCACCATAGATACCTACCCACACTCCCAACAACGTTGCTATAACAATTTAAATTTCTCATAGCAACGAATACAAATGTACACAGTTGATCAATAAATAATAAGGCAATAAGAAACAATTTTTCACTGAGTTAACTACCAGCGACTTTAAACAATAAAATCGTATCAAGTATTGGTAAGACAAAATTAACTTTAATTTTGTTGTGAACAACAATTTTTCACTGAGTAAACAATAAAATCGTATCAAGTATTGGTAAGACAAAATTAACTTTAATTTAGTTGTGGACAATTAGTTACCACTCAATGTTTAGACAAGTAAATAATAGAGACAGTCAATTTGGTGGACACTTCTTGTGTACAGGAACAAAACAGACATGTGTACAGTACCTCTTGTATAACCTATATATACAGTTTACACTCAAAGGTGTATATGTCTTATGAACAACACTTTCATGTATCAAACATTCATGTACAAAACATCATTCTTGGTTTGAACAGTTGGAAATACGTACACACAGCGAGTGTAAAAATCTTGGGTGTACATACAGTGTACAGATGTACATAGCATTCGTGTGTACAGGCCTAAATATGTACATAAATCATCAAGCAACCAGCACATGTACACCATTTGTTATGTAACTATTGCAACATATTGCTATCAGCTATGCACTCATTGCGAATAAAACAAAACAATTATGTGATGATACATCTCTCCTTATCAATTCTACCCCATTGTTCATTCCCTTTCCCTAAACGTCCCGTCACACTTAAGCATTGCAACCAATCTGATAGTCTCGCCGTCACGTGATCTCGATGTCACGCGTGACAGGAGTGGTGTCACGCCCAGGGAGACCGCGCCGCTGGCTGCTCACCCACCGCCCCATTTGATCAATGACGCAATATTCCTGTCAACTTCCGCTTTCAGGTCTGATCAAAGCCCGGCCCTGGCCTGTGTTCCACATCAAAGGCGCCAGCAAACTATCAACAATCTGTCGGGTCACAAAAAACATCCAATCATTCAAACTGTTGGTTAATTAAATCAGACCCCATTAGTCACTGTTGTCTAACCTTTACGTGTAGCATTGTTACAACGTGATTCATCGGTTGTTGATGTTTTTTTTTTAATAATTGCGAATAATGTCTTTCTTTAATAAAAAAAAATTTTAAGTTTTCTTACTAAAAATTTTAATAAAATATTTTGCTTTTAATTTGATGATCAGTGTTCATGTTTACAAGAATGTAAGTCAAGAGTTTAAAAAATGTAACATTAGGCCACCCAAACGTCTTTGACCTAATGTCGGGGGCCGCATAACAGACGCAGGTTTGACAGTACTTTGACAGCATCGCTCCGTACCCAGCCAATGTTTCTTTCAGACATTTATTACCCGGGGGACGACGGGATGACACTGGTTTAAGTATATATTTTCTATAAATTTTATATTTGATCTATTTCAATCGGGTGTGGGGGCACTGTTTTGGTCCATATATAAACTTCAGATGTAAAACAATATGGATGTTACATTTGCTACACATAGAAATATATCCGTTGCCATGTCAAAACTGAACTGAGAATACACCGTTACACACTATCTCACGCAAGAACTTATAAAACCGATGTGATCAGAGTTAACGCCCTTATCACCTAGCAACCAGAATCATTTGCTGTTAAACATTGAACTGTATGTATCATACTGTACATTATTTACAAAAAACGTGAAGTAGCAGACAGAAGGAATAACCAATGCTTCGAATGGTGCAAGTTGATGTTACTTCTCTGCTAGTAGAAGGCATGGGCGCCCTTACTATAGGTGAAACCCTCCCTCCCTTTCCCATCCCCCTGGAATATATTCATCATTAATTCGTATATAATATTTAAATATATTATTTGATTTTTTTTCTCACTTGCATGGGCAGAATGATGTCCACTGACAATGACAACCATGAGTGTGACATCCACTGACAATGACATCCATGACAGTGACATCCACTGACAGTAACATCCACTGACAGTGGCATCCTGCTAAAACTGATGTTGCTGTGTTTATCATTGGTCTTGGTACACAAATTATGTATATATTATGTACATATTTTATCTGACAAACACACACGCATATACTTACACATACAAATTGAAAAAAAATAAGTTACAGTAAAACTTTTCTTGCATGAATGAAGACATGAAATGCAGCTCTGTTATTCCAAAAGAATAGTTGAGTCTCGTTCAAACTGTTTGTTTTTAGCCACAGAGGTAGACACCACATTGTCACGTGGTGATCACCAAACCATCACGTGGTGGTCACCAAACCAAGTCTGCTGGTCTATACCCTGGAGGCGATGACCTTGGTGGTGGTGGGGCCGTTGCCGCTGTGGCTGGGCGCCTTGGACACGTTGGGCTGACTGTTCTTGAGCATGATGACGGGGGCGGGGTGGTACTCGGCGTTGAAGTTGTTCGACTTCCGCCTGGTGAAGCTCCTGGAGCAGAACTTCTTCCAAGAGGCCACCGTCTTGCCACTCCAGATCCACATGCCGCTTGTAATGCCGATGACCAGGGACATGAACAGCTTCAGCATGTAGATCTCCACCGTCGGGATCGACTGCTCCAACGGGCAGCGGTGCCCCGGGGAGGTGGAGGAAGGAGGAGAGTCCGCGGGGCATGGAGAGTTCATGGCCTGTTTTTGCCACTTCCGGAAGTTGATTCTCTCGTAGAAGTGGCACCCGATGACGCAGGTCGCCGGGACGGTGTAGAGGATGGAGAACACGCCAATCTTCGCCATCAGCTTCTCCAGCTTGCGAATGTTCGTGTTGGTGCCGTCCTGCTTCAGGTCGTTCCGGATCCGGAACATGGCAGCGAATCCGGCGAGAATGAAGACGAACCCGGCTATGAGGTAGAGGATCAGGGGAACCAGGACGAACGCGGTCAAGGCCACGGGGTCCTGGTTACCCACGTAACACATCCCCGTCACCTCGTCGCCGTCCACCCGCCTCATCGTCAAAATTATTATCGTCTTCACCGCCGGGATCGTCCACGCGGCTAAGTGGAAGTAGCTGGATAAAGCTTCGATGGCTTCCTGACCCCACTTCCGGCCTGCCGCTAGATACCACGTGATCGTCAGCACGACCCACCACACCGACGACGCCATACCGAAGTAGTACAGCAACAGAAATATTATAATACACCAGGCGCTCTCCAGGCCTTCCAGAATCCGAAAGGGTCTCCCGTCGTGGGAGATATCACACGAGACGGCATCAGGGCCGGTACCGGCTCGGATCATGTAGGCGATGGTTTGTATGAGGTAACACACGGAGAGGAAGATGATGGGCCGCTCGGGGTATTTGAACCTGCTGGTGTCCACGGCGAAGGTCGTGACGGTGAGCAGCGTGGAGAAGCAGCAGACGGAGGCCCAGACGAGCATCCAAATTTGGGCAAAGTCTTTGTCCTCCTGGCGGAACAGCACGTCCACGTTGCACAGCGGGGCGCAGGTGTTGTTGGACTTGGGGATGTTGTCCACGCGGACGAACCTCTGCGGACACGAGTGGTCCGGCTGCGTGGACGTGTCCGGCTGCGTCCGGCTCTTCTGTTTTTCTTTGATCATCTTCTTCCACGGGTTGCTGGGGTCCAGCTTGTCCAGGTTCTTCTCCAGGTTCTCGTACTTCGTCCCCGACAGCGTCGAGGCGTCAATCTCCACTTCTTCCGTCGTGTTGGGCGCCGCCATGCACAAATTATTCCGTGGGTCGGATTTCTCCGGCAGCTTGTCGCAGGCCAGCATTTCCGGCCACTCGAAGCTGAAGGAGAGCAAGATGGGCTCGCACTTGGCTTTGACCTGCAGACACATGGAGCGACAGGCGGGGATGTTGAGCGTCTCGCCCACCAGCTCAGTGCACATGGGAGCGTACAGGGAGCAGAGGAAGAACTTGAGCAGGCCGGAGCAGTTGGTCTGGAGCAGGGGCTGGAAGTCCTGGATTCTGGCCTCGGCCTCCATCTGGTTGTCCTGGCCTGGAACATACAGAGGGGGAGGTTAATCATGTGATAAATAATGTATACATCACGTGACAACAACTTCACATAGCACGTGACAACAACTTCACATATCACGTGACAGCTAATGTATAAATAACGTGACAACAACTTCACATAGCACGTGACAACTAATGTATAAATAACTTAACAACTTCACACATCATTTGACAGCTTCACACAATCCGTACAACAAATGTATACAACATCTTCAAACAGCACGTGATAGTTTCACATATAACGTGACATCTTCACATATAACGTGACAGCTTCAAATATAACGTGATAATCTCAGATATAACGTGGCAAGTTCATATATAACGTGATAATCTCACATATAATGTGACAAGTTCACATATAACGTGACAGCTTCAAATATAACGTGATAATTTCACATATAACGTGACATCTTCACATATAACGTGACAAGTTCATATATAACGTGAAAACGTAGCGCATTAAAGGGATTGTAGTGTCATTTTGTGATTACACCCCCAAAAATCAAAGTATGGTTTGTTTTTAAATGTATGTTATTTGTAACGTAACAACATTAAACAATAAATGAAACTTTTTTTTACTGTCACTTAACACAACAGATAGGCATGGTTTCTTGAGGCTAGGGGGTGCCCTCTACGGTCCGTGATCAGAGTTTCTTCCAGGCATCTCTTCGGGGGGGGGCGAAGCCCCCCCTTCCCCTAACGAAATGAAATTTATATAATCTATATAGAAAATATATACTTTTAACAGTGTCCGCCCCCCCCCCCCCCCCGAAGAAAGTTTACCGCCCCCCCCCCCCCCCGAAGATTCCAAGTGCCCCCCCCGGAGAAAAAAGTCTGGAAGAAACACTGTCCGTGATATTAGCAGTATACCAACTGGATAAGCGACGATTCGAACTACATCTTTGTATCTTAAGTAGGCCTACTGTAAACCCTCTAACTACACCCGCGTCAGTCAACAAGCACTTGAGTTCCAGAATTGGTAACAGTCTCAAGTATTCACCCCCACCCCAATCCTTAGAGCCGTAGGATAATAGCGACGGTCTTACACACAGCAACACCAATCTTGTCACGGTATGTTTTAGGTACACCAGCTGCCACTGATGTATACCTAACGTTTAAAAAAAAGAATGAAAGCATCCGTTTTCAACAGGCTATCCCAACTTTGAAACTCGTTCAAGTTGTTTGCTAGCTTATAGAAGGGCTTTAAAGGGAAATATTTGGAAATAATGTACTAGCCTCGGGGTAAGTTAAGGGGAGGGGGGGAGGAGAGAGATTTGAATGTCACGGTTCAGTGAACCACGTCACAAACTTGACGGAACACGTGTCCAGGTATAAGAACAAGGATGACACATCGTGAATCACACACCCCTGTCAGATGACTGTCATTAGCTGAACACCTCAGCACAAAGAGGTGTAGATCAACACGGTGCAAAGGTGTAGATCAACACGGTACAAAGAGGTGTAGATCAACACAGTACAAAGAGGTGTAGACCGCGGTACAAAGAAGTGTAGATCAACACGGTACAAAGAGGTGTAGATCAACACGGTACAAAGAGGTGTAGACCGCGGTACAAAGAGGTGTAGATCAACACGGGACAAAGAGGTGTAGATCAACACGGTACAAAGAGGTGTAGATCAACACGGTACAAAGAGGTGTAGATCAACACGGTACAAAGAGGTGTAGATCAACTCGGTACAAAGAGGTGTAGATCAACACGGTACAAAGAGGTGTAGATCAACTCGGTACAAAGAGGTGTAGATCAACACGGTGCAAAGAGGTGTAGATCAACTCGGTACAAAGAGGTGTAGATCAACTCAGCACAAAGAGGTGTAGATCAACACGGTACAAAGAGGTGTAGATCAACACGGTACAAAGAGGTGTAGATCAACACGGTACAAAGAGGTGTAGATCAACACGGTACAAAGAGGTGTAGATCAACACGGTACAAAGAGGTGTAGACTTATACCATCTCAGCATAAAGATGTGTAGACCTAGACTATCAGAACATAAAGAGGTGTAGACCTATACCATCAGGACATAAAGAGGTGTAGACCTATACCATCAGAACATAAAGAGGTGTAGACCTATACCATCACTAAAGAGGTGTAGACCTATAACATCAGAACATAAAGAGATGTAGGTCATCACTACAAAAAGGTCTGTAGACTAAGCGAATTCCCTTATCTAAAGTTGCGTCCCTTTGAGAATGTGTTATGACTAACCTAAGTCGTACGTTGTCGATTGAACTGGGTAATATACAAAGTTTATTTTTTAATCGATTATACTTCAGACATACCATAGGCAATGAACCGGTAATTTCTATTGTTGGGTTTGAAAGAAAGAATAACAAAACAAATTCCTTTTGAAAGTACCGGTCACCTGACTTGTTTAACATTGGAGGTGGGGGGGGGGGGGGGGGGAAGCGGCCCCTCTAAAACCTATACAAGGATGAGGCGACACCATATCAAAATTACCAACACAACTATTCACTTTAGACTGAAAACAGACATTCAAAAGGGACTCGCTAGTTCGTTAAAATGAACTTTAAAACTGTTACTTTAACTTTTTATTGTGGAAATAGACATCATATTCCATTAATGGAAATTTATTATTTCTTTTAAGATTGTGTACATCAATATAAAACATTTCTTTCTTTGATGAATCCAAGTATATTCAATTGGTAACTTAAATTTCAGACAGTCATACTATCACAGCGGTGTTGAGGAGTTTTATTCATCATATCGGTATTTTAGAATTTAATTCATCAAAACCAATCACAGGAAAGTCAAAAAAATGTTCCCAAAAAACAAAATATATTAGAATGTATAGAAATTATATGACCTACAGAAGACGTGCTGGCGGTACTAGGTAAACGAGAGCGATGAATGCGGGAAGAAATCATTACCTAATCCCCTCCATCCTCCCCCTCCCACCCCTTCCCACCCCCAAAGGAACACAAGCACCAGCAAAGCCCGGGATCAAAAGAGACGAATTCTTAAACAACTTGAACACTAAAGGCGTGAGCAGATAACTCGGCTTGTACGGAGACCAAGTTCAGACAACTCTGGGCGACTCGGCCTCGGGGAGGGGAAGGGGGGGGGAGAACTCTGATAGTTTACACCAGCTGGAAGTGGAACTTGATAGTCCAGTAGCTGGGCGAGCCACCGCCTTCTTCCCCCCCCCCCCCCCACCCCCGGGGACAGGAGAGCGGGGTATCACCACGACGGGTGCAGGCACCTTGGCTGATGTTTGGGCTAGAGATACCAGAGCCACACAAGATCCTGCCCTTGGTTCTAGAACAGGACATCCCATATTTTGACAGCTTTGATCATTTCTCTTTACATCTACAGGAACACATTTATTCAAGTCTTGTTTTAGAATCATTTTTTTAAATAATTAGTCAGGGGGTTAATTTGAAAATTAATCAGCAATTTTATAATTTAAAAAAAAAATTACACTGTCAATACAACCAATTTAAAAAAAAAAACATCCTACGTTAAAAACTGTTCTTGACGGTAAAGTATGTGTATGTATCAATGTTGTTTCATTTATTACATGACTCGGGCGAAAATTAGTACCCAACCACCAATGAACTAGATGAACTCAGGAACTATCGTGTGATGTTTTCAAGATGTATTTTGTAAACGTTTTAGAAACGGTCAGCATAAACTCATTTGACCATTTCATCCAACCCGTTTGACCTCTTCATCCAACCCGTTTGACCTCTTCATCCAACCCTTTTGACCTCTTTATCCAACCCATTTGACCTCTTCATCCAACCCATTTGACCTCTTCATCCAACCCGTTTGACCTCGTCATCCAACCCGTTTGACCACTTCATCCAACCCGTTTGACCACTTCATCCAACCCGTTTGACCTCTTCATCCAACCCGTTTGACCTCTCCATCCAACCCGTTCGACCTCTTCATCCAACCCGTTAGACCTCTTCATCCAACCCGTTTGACCTATTCATCCAACCCGCTTGACTATCCCTCCAACCCGTTTGACCTCGTCATCCAACCCGTTTGACCACCCCGCACAACCCGCTTGACCACTTGCTTACCCCCAAGATTCCACGACTGGGCCAACCACACCTGTACTCTACTGTGTTTCTCCAAGCCCCCCCCCCCCCCTCCAGCCCCCGTTTGATTCCTGCTATTCACATTAAAGACGGACCCCATGGGGCGCGGGGAGGAACACATTAAAGACGGACACCCCGACCCTGGGGGCGTGGGGAGGAAATAATGAACCCAGACTGACCCCGGCTTCCGTCGGGTTCTCCAAGCCTCCATTCCCGTTACCTCCCTCCGCCGCCGGCTTTGTAGCCGTGTCACGTGACGGGGTCCAACACGTGGGGCCAAATTGCCGGCTGCTGCCGTACACCGAGTCACCCACATTACAAAGACCGGGCCCCCTTTGAACATCGCATTATTTTGGGAACCGCTCCCATGTGCTGCAGTTTTAGCGCTATTGTTCTGGCGCCTGTTTGACGTGCACCGCAAATCACCGAAAGTTTAAGTAAGTTACCATATATAACCGTAAATTTAAACACATCACCGCAAATCACCGAAAGATAAAGAAAGTTACCATATATCACCGTAAATTTTAACACATCTCCGCAAATAACTAAAAGTTAAAGTTTACCAAAACTCATCGAATATTATACAAAGTCACCATACAATACGTAAATTATAATGCATCACCGTAAATCGAAGCTAAATCGGATCACTGTAAAATAAAAAAAAATAACTTTCTCTAATTCGCCGGAAGTCAGCTTTTATCCCTAAAAATAGTCCACGCCTTCATTACACACCTACCTAACCATTCATTACCTCCTGTTTAAGTTTAACGTTTCTCGGTGTGGTCCAGTGGTATAACCCACACTTACAACTAGTTACAACTCCCCAAACTCTAGCGTTCGATATACAACAACTACACTGTGAGAAAAATGTTGGTAAAAAAGTGGTTGGTATTGGTCA